AACAACGTTAAGTTTCATAAGATGCTTTTAAAATGTTATAGAAATGTAACCGTAAGATGGCGTTTTATTTTATTTTTATAATTTTATTATAAATATAATGCAATTGTTATTTTATAGGTTTGAAAATAGTTATATTCACATCTGATGATCTAATACATAACGATTAATAAATATATAAGGTTTTTTAAACCTAATCTCATGATTGACTATTATAAAGTTTTAACTCCTTTTAACTAAAATTAAACTAGTAGCAAAACATTTATCACTAATCCACATTGACGAATACTATTCTGCAAATTAAAATATAGCTAAGCAAATATCGCAAATTTTTTACAAGCAAAACCCTTATCGTGAACTTTTTAGAGCGAATATATAACAACGAAACTTTATCGCCAATCAATAATGGCAAAAATTATATAACGAAGTCATTATGGCAAAGTCAATGTAATTTAGAAAAATGTATCGCGAAATCAATATAAAAAGAAAATTTGAAAAATGGATTCAATAGATTAGAAAAACGATGTTTCCATCTTTCACATTGATTATTTGTGCGTTTTTCCTCAGATAGAGTTCTCTGATTCACATTCCAGATTTCGGGAATCAATTTGACGTGTCTGGGACTAGGAAATGCCTCTTACAACCTTGATACTCTTATGCGGAGTAACCGATTTCACTTTTCGATTTTCGATTTGAAGAAGATCTCGTGGAAGAGATCCTTTGTTAAGTGGGATAATTTCAAAAAATGTTATTTATAAGCCTCAAATTTGATTTAAAAAAAATAATATATTTATTTTATTTTTGAATGTGCGTGAATTTATTTCGGGAAGGGGGGGGGGATATTTCCGGTGGTTTTTTTTCAAGGGATTGTTTTTCCCATTACCATTATTTTTATAAAGTTTGAAGTTGTAAAAATAAAATTTTTTATTGATTATTGATTACAATTTATTTTTGACTAGAATTGAAATAAAGAAATATTTTTAAATTAGAATACTTTATAATTATTAAGGAATAACATAATTTGAAGGAGAAATAAAATTAAAAAATTACTTATAAAATTAATAATCCTAAAATAACTATAAGAATAACTGGTAAAAAAAATCTCAATATCAAAATTTGGATTAAATAGTAAAGGTTTCAAGGTAATAGTCTCAATAAAAAATAAAGGTACAATATCTCAATATAAAAATTTCAATAAATAGACGACATTCGCGATAAATGTTTCGCTAAAAAAGTGATTCGCGACAAAAGTTTTACTGAAATTGAACTGTTACGAAATATTCGCCTTACATTTAAAAATAATAAAATAATATAATTTTCCAACTCCTTTTTAGTATACATTGTTTTAATTATTATAAGGTAATTTAACCTCACAGAATATTATATTTACAACGTGATAATTGAAATCATCATTTTTTAAATGATGATACAAATAATTATTCAAGCTACAAAAGTTAAAACTAAAATGAAAGGATATTTCTCTAGCATATCACTAAAATAAGAGATTAAATTTTTATTAAAAAAAAGAAAAAGTGTAGACATTTTTTTAAAAAATTTATCGATTCTTTACTAAATTAATTTTAAAAATTCAGGCAAACCCATTCTTCACAGGCATTAACCGATTTCACTCTCCGTATCAATATAAAATTTTATATTACATCTTAAATATTGTATTAATTTTTAAATATATACTAAACCATGAAGTTTTATTCGGTGCCCGAGTTAGCTCTCTTATTTTCAATTCTCCTATACAAAATTATAATGGAGACTATATAAGTATTAAATATATAATTTTTACTTTTTATGATATAGACTATAAGTTAAAATGTTTTTTTTTCTTTTTATTTATTTATTATTTTATAATTGCGATATGGTAATACCTTATCACTGTATCCTCTGTCAAACGTCGGTCAACTCCAAAGACCGTCACACTCTCTGCAAGCGCTGTAGAGGCAGATTCATCAGACATTCAAAATGCAATGATACTATTGCCAGGGCCTTAAAATCTGCCGGCATCCCATCAACCCTCGAACCTACTAGCCTTTACAATTCCGATGGTTCCATTATTATCTCTTGGAAGAGGGGGAAATTCCTAACCTGGGATTTCTCATGCACATCGATCCTCCCCCTTTCAATATAAATAGAGGTGCCATACTAGATGCCGAGGCGAATAAACTAGCTAAATATTCGCCAACGTTTCCCGCCAATTATACATTCCTACCTATAATCGCCACGACTCTAACGTTGTTCGGCTCTCATGTCCTGGCCTTCTTTAAAGAGCTGGGAAAACGGATCTCTGCTAGGACCGAGAATCCCAACGAGGGATTCTACCTACGCCAAAGAGTAGCCATAAATATAATAAAATACAACTATCTCAGCTTTATTATTTCAACGTCCAAAACCCCCGAATTGAAAATGCTATGCATAGGATAGACTATGGCTAATGTTAACACTAAAAGGGTTGACTCTCAATTAAAAGATAGCAAGAATTAATGACTTTATATAATTATGATTTACTAATATTATATTTATTTATTTTTTACATGTTATATTGAAGCTAATCTTTTTGAATTTTGTTTTTTTTAGTTAAAATGTTTTGTATTGAATCTATATTTGATTACTAAATTACCGAGAAAAGCTTACGATCTTTATAGATATTAACTTTTCTGTTTACTTAGATATAAAGTATCAGTTATATTTTCAAAAAAGTATAGAAATCTGATTCTAATATTAAGACGCAGCCTTAAGCAAAAAGATTCCCAAACTTTAGCAAGTATCAATTCTGAAGCTTAAGCCAAATATGTAATTCTTAATTACAAAATATGTAGGTGAGTTCTTAAACATATATTATTATTTTTTTCCCCTTAATTACTCAGAATTAAAAATTAACGAAATTTTTACTGAATTCCCAAAAGATGATTTTGCTAAGTAAAAATTTTTTAATTTTATCAGAAATGAAGTTCATTGAAAATATAATATATCATTCAGAAATTTGTACTTTTTTTTTTATTTCCAAGTTCATAAGCATGGGTAGGCGCAAAATAATTCCCCGGAAAAAAAAAATCCCTAATAATAATTCTTAAAAAATAATTCTCAGGAATTGATTTTCTCAAAATTTTTAAATATATTATTTGAGGATTTTTTAATCCATGGATATATTTATAGGGATTTTTTTTATCCTATTTAATTTTTTAAATTTTTAATATCTTAAAAAACGAGTAATTTTTCAAGATTATTTTTTTTAAAAAATATAACATAATTAATAGGTGTGCAAAAATGTTATAAAATATAACGGCTAGGTGGCGTCTTGTTTTATTGCAATAATTTATATAATAATTATGATGTTGTTTTTATTTCTAGGTACTTTTGTTAAACGGCTCCATTTGAGCCTTTTAAAAATGGCTAACTCAATATTTTAGCCATAAAAATATTAAGCAAGACTGAAGGTTATGTTCATAGATAACACAAATGTTTATACATCTTTTAGTGTAGCCTCTAGGCTTTAGGCAATATTTTCTGGCTAAAATATTGAGTTAGCCGTTTTTAAAAATCGGCTCAATTCGAGCCGTTTAACAACACTATTTCTAGGCACGAAAATAAGATAAATATTGGCTAACATATTCATGAAATATTATATTTAAAAAACAAATAAATAATAATGATTGTGGAATAAAGTAATACTTTCTGCCTAATTTAAAATATAACAAAATTCATGCATTCTTCATAAAAAAACAATGAATATATTAAATAGTATATAAAACTCACGCGTAAAAATATTTTAAGGATAATTAATCTTTTCAATATAATATCCTAAAATCATATACATACTCATGGAATCTTCCAATTCGATAAGATTTCTTAAAATTTAATCCAACAATTACATCTATCATTTAAAAAATAAGTGACCATTATACGGTAAACTTCAGAATGGACCTAAGTTAATTAAAAAGGAGATAACGCACATTCACCACTTTAAGCCTAATTCCAAACCTTTCTGCCATCGATGAGAAAAAAACCAGGTTTGAGTATACTATTATTTTGGTTATAATATTAAACGAGTCCGTTTTTAAAAATCAACCCGAATCGGGCTTTTTAACAACATTAATAGAAGGAAACCAAAAGAATACTTTCACGTTCAAAATTCGTATTTAAAAGAGAAATGCTGCTTTGGTCATCTTTTATCCCAAAATAATAACCAATTTTATTAACAAATGGGTTCACTTTAAATTAGTGTTGTTAAATGGCTTGATCTGGGCCGATTCTTAGAGGCCAACTAAATATTTTAATCATAATTATATTGCCTAAGGCTCGAAATTTCCTTGGAGAATGTCGAAACCTTTGTGCCATCTTTGATCAAAATCCTCAGACTGGCATTTTTTATGGATAAAATGTTGAGCTAGCCGCTTAATAATTAGGCTCAATTAGAACCGTTTAAACAATAATAATTTGAATAACCGTTTACAATACTAAAAAAAATGAGCATACATATAAATATATATTTTTAATATAATTTTCTAAATTAATGATCAGTTAACAGAGGGTAATATAACCAGCCAATTATCAAAATTACTTTACTTTGACCACTCCAGGGAAGCCAAGTTTTTATCCTGACTTACTCATTTCAATCTTCAAGTTGAGGCTCAACTTAGAGGTATGAGTCAGTAGCGTCACTGGGGGAAAGGGGACTCCAGGTCCCTGAAAAATTTTAAGAGCCCTCTCAAAATTTTGAATACCACTAAAAAAAAATCTTTTGAGCCCCCTGAGATTGTAAAGGCCAGAGACGCCTCCTGGGATGAGTCAATTTTTTAGGCCAAAAACTTGATAAAGCCGCCATGGAACTTTGCTAACTTGTCCAAAAATCATTTACTTTTTTATATAATAGATATGATATAAATTTTATTTTTAATCATTAAGAATTAGATAACACATTGACTTTCCTTTTTTTTCTAAAAAAAATTTAAAAAACATAAATTTATTATTTAAAAGGTTTTTTTTTAAATAATTTATATTTCTAAATTTTGAAATCTGTAATGATTTTTGAAAAATTTGGACATTCTTTCGGCCGCAACAATGGCTTTATCTTTAGGGATTATCAACGAAATTCGAATGTAGCCGCCTATTCCGAATATCGAAGATGGATACGGAAAAACGGATTCCTCTTGTATAAGTCTCTCGACTACTTCAAATTCGCTTTTGAACTCGGGAAAGCATTTCATGGATATATAGATCATCATAAATATGGCGCCTTGGGGAAACATTGCGGTGATGCCCGGGACTTTTGCGAGAGCGCTTTTTATTTCTTTAGCATTCTCGTAGGCTAATTGAACAACATTTAGAAAGTAGGAATCGGGGGTTTTGGTTAATATTGTAGGTAAAGCGGCTTGTATCATAGAACTAACACCAAAGCTGGCTTGGCACAACCGGCATATAGCCTCTTTGACTCGATCCAAGCAATGAATGGGGTCATATATGGCTATCCACCCGATTCTCCAACCCGGCACTATGTACCGTTTGCTTATCGAGTTGCATATTATAATCGGCACAGTGGAAGATAGATCGGCTATTGAATAATAAATTTGACCAGGAAAAACAATGTGAGCGTATACCTCGTCGGATATTACTGGTAAATCATATTTTGACACTAATTTGAGGAATTTAAGAATGTGTTTTTTGGAAAATACGGATCCACATGGATTCGAAGGGTTATTAATAATTATCGCCTTTGTTTTCGAGTTTATCAGGGATTCTAAATGCTCCAAATTGATTTCCCATTGATTTTTAGGGATTAGATTGTAGCTCTGAAATGCGATTCCATTCATTTTTGCGAAGGTCTTGTAAATGGGAAAACAAGGTTTTGGAATAAGTATATTGTCGCCCCTATCGGCCAAACATTCAATAGACCATTGCAGGGCTTGCGTACAACCTGTTGTCAAGAAAACATCTTTCCAATTGATATTGACACCTTGTTTAATGTATAGATTGGCAATGGCTATTCTAGCTGACTCAAGTCCAACAGAAGGAACATAGGAGTTGAATTGCCTACTTTTGACAGAGTTTATGACGGCGTCCATCATTTCATTGTGGACTGGGAATAATTGGTGGAGTGAAGGATCACCTTGTGATAAGGATATGAGATATTTGTCAGGATTTGGTTTGACCGACAAAGTTTCGAAGATGGCTCGTGGTGGATTAATACAATTTGCTGCTCTTTTGGATACAGTTATCATTTTATGGAACCCTTTCTGGCTAAGATTTTCATAGGATTTAAAATCTACATCCCAACTCCCTGAACTCAGTGAAGATGTCTGAGTTTGAGCGTCGTATTTAATCATTCGCCTTTAATTATATTTAACACTTTTTTTGAGTTCAAATAAAGTTCTGAGAATATAATATATGAAGATGTGAATATCTATATTATTTTTTCAAATTATGCCATATCGCCCCTAGATTAATTTTAATCAATTATTTTTATTATAAAATTGGCCTGAATTATTTTGATGGTCAACGATCTTCATTCAAAATACAAGATTTAAGTTGTTCAATTGTCGAAGTTTTTTTATAACAGGATATCATTAGGATAAATAAAAGTTTCTGATTATTGAGAATACAGATTCTCAACAATCAATACTTCAATTATTGATAATCGACAATCATAATAATTGATTATCCTTCGATAGGTTATTATAGATTTTGAATAGTTAGTGGAGGATTGGGATGAATTTCTTTTCCTACTATTCACATTAGAATTCTTTTAATTAATAAAATTGATCCAAAAATTTGTACAATGAAAAATTCGTGATCACTTATTAAATGAAAAGAAAAGTGGTTGCACATACAATATAATAGACCAATAATTAAGGATATATTATTTTTAAAAAAAATCTTTTCACTTTCGTTTGAAAGGGACTATGTTAAGAATATTTGTAAATATGAAAATAATTTTGGGAAATTGATGATTCAGTAAAAATGGAACATTATGAGAAATAATATTGTAAAAGCATGGATACTAGAGACATAGTGACATTTATATGGTAATTTGGTTTATGGATTATGATTATGGATCTATAGTAATTTAGACATTGGGTAAAGAGTTATTCATGAAAGAACTTGGTTAATTTAGAGATTGGGGTTACTGCTAAAAGAACCTGGCTAACTTGGAGATTTTGAAAATAAATACTGACATAAGCGTAGCCAGGATTTTCCTAAGGGATGAATAACCTGTTATAAATAGTTTTATTATTTTTTTGTATGAGTCATGAAATATTTTTTTTGTTTGAAATTTTATTTTTAATATTTTTTTTTGTTTCGCGCAGTCATCTTGAACGTCATTATATAAATATTTTTAATATTTATTATGTAAAAAAAAAAATAAATAATAATTTAATATTTATAAAAAAAAATAATCTTATATAAACTAAAAAAAAAGTGGAAATTCATTATTATTATCAATTATATTTTTTTTATATTTATTGTTTTAAAGAAAAATAAAACCAATTTATTCAAAAGAAAAAAAGGGGTAAAAAAAAAATAAATATACTGTTAAGTTAAACATTTCTGTACGGTGAAATTTTGAAATTGGTGCCGTGTTTATACAAAGCAACCTGGTTAGTGCGGTTGTCGTAATATCATATAGTGGTATTTGAGTCTTCGAGTGGAAAATATCATATAGTGGTATTTGAGTCTTCGAGTGGAAAATATCATATAGTGGTATTTGAGTCTTGAAGTGAATTGTACATCGTCTTCATCTACATCTACGGTAAAATATCATATAGTGGTATTTGAGTCTTCGAGTGGAAAATATCATATAGTGGTATTTGAGTCTTCGAGTGAAGTGTACATCGTCTTCATCTACATCTACGGTAAAATATCATATAGTGGTATTTGAGTCTTCGAGTGGAAAATATCATATAGTGGTATTTGAGTCTTCGAGTGGAAAATATCATATAGTGATATTTGAGTCTTGAAGTGAAGTGTACATCGTCTTCATTTACATCTACGGTAAAATATCATATAGTGGTATTTGAGTCTTCGAGTGGAAAATATCATATAGTGGTATTTGAGTCTTGAAGTGAAGTGTACATCGTCTTCATCTACATCTACGGTAAAATATCATATAGTGGTATTTGAGTCTTCGAGTGGAAAATATCATATAGTGGTATTTGAGTCTTGAAGTGAATTGTACATCGTCTTCATCTACATCTGCGGTAAAATATCATATAGTGGTATTTGAGTCTTCGAGTGAAAAATATCATATAGTGGTATTTGAGTCTTGAAGTGAAGTATACATCGTCTTCATCATCGACATCAGCTGTCCATTTATTTTTTTTTTCCTTTCTCTGCTCTCTCAAAAAAAAAAAGTCTTATCGTACGGAAGTGCTGTCCGAATTTTACGAGTTGTAAATCTGTTACACAAAATTTGCCCAAATTTTTGTCGTATCTTTAGACTTATTAACTGTAGATGTACATGTGTATTATTGGATTGTTTACACTATTAATAATATCATATCTATTAACATTACAAATAACAAAAATTTTTATTTTGAAATTAATTATAAATTTTTTATAAGGTCGAAATGAAAAGTTTAAAATTTGTAAAATACTGGGAAATACAGTATAATATTTTTGGGGCATTGGTTATATTAGTAATATGGATGTGTAGCTTAATATGGGGAAGAAAGTTGAGAAGAAGTCGAAGTGTGAAAATAAAGGGGCAGACATTGACTATAGAAGGACATAATGGGGAAGAGGATGTTATGGGAAAGGTAACATGGTTCCCAGTGCAGGAGTTAATTAATGGGTGGACGGATAGCGAATTAGATAAATTAACCTATAGGCCTGAAAGGAGAGATTCATATACTAATCAGAGATTGGGGACATATAGGGGACCTAGAGAAAGTTCACAGGGAAGGAGAGGAGAAATGAGACCCAACTTTGATTCAAGAGTAAGGGGGAGAATGAATTGTTATAATTGCGGAAGACAGGGACATATGGTCAGAGATTGCCAAGAAACGAAATGTTTTGAATGTGGAAAATATGGACATATAGCCACGTTTTGTTCAGGAAGACGTGATAAGCTACGATGTGCAGGTTGTGGTCGATTTGGTCATAATAGGGAGGAATGCAATGTGGGTAATTTCAAACCTAGAGGCGGTTTTCCGCAGAGGGACATGGGGCAAAGTGCTCCAAATGTTAGAATTATAGAAAGTGAAAAAAATAAAGAGGTAGGAATACCATTTTTGGCTGTGAATAAAGAGCAGAATAGAATCTGTTTCCGTTGGCGGAAGGAAGGACATGGGGCGAGAGATTGCGAGTATTTGTGACTATATGATGGCAAAGAGCATGCCGCAAAGGTCGGGGGGCTTTGGGCGAAAGAGATGGAAAGATTAGATTATAGTGAGAAAGATTGGGTATCAAAGGGCATATATATGATACAAGAGGAAAGGATACATGATCCTTGCCCTAGAGTTTGGATAAATTTGAATGGAAATATGGTATCCATGTTATTTGATACCGGGGCAGCCATATCCGTGATGGGATATGAGAAATATCAGAGTATTTGGTCGGAAGGGATAATTAAACGGGAGGACATCAAGATCCGTCAGTTGGATGGATCAGAAGTCGCAGTGATGGGAAGGGTGGAGTTAAAGGTGGTATTAGAGAATAGAGTGGAGATTTTGGACTTATGGATAGTAGATCGAAAGGTAGAGTCAGTAGTGGGATGGGATTGGATCACCCGAATTGGTCCAGATTGTGGTTTTTGGGGGGTATTCGCATGGTGTGGTGTATTTTTACCTGTTGCAAGATATGAAGAAAATAGAGATATGAATTTGTGGTATGGAGAGAGATTGCCAGGAATTGAAACCTTTTTGGAAGGGGAAAGGAGAAGAGAGGATAATAGGGTTGTTAGAGACTATAGGGGAGGTTTTGGGGGGAACTATAGGGGAGATATTGGGGGGAATTTTAGGGGAGGTATTGGGGAGAATTATAGGGGAGGTATCGGGGGGAATTATAGGGGAGATATTGGGGGGAATTTTAGGGGAGGTATTGGGGAGAATTATAGGGGAGGTATCGGGGGGAACTATAGGGGAGGTATCGGGGGAAATTATAAGGGAGGTTTCGGGGGGAACTATAGGGGAGGTATCGGGGGAAATTATAAGGGAGGTTTTGAGGGGAACTATAGGGGAGGTATTGGGGAGAATTTTAGGGGAGGTATTGGAGAGAATTTTAGGAGTTGTCGCGACTTTGGGAGAAAGGAAGAAAGAAATGATACTGAAGAACAGAAAGAAATTCATGATCAAGGAAAGTTTGAAGCGGAGCTGGAGAGATTGGCAGATGGGAAAATAATGTTGCCAGAAGAAGAGACTAGAGAAGATGATGATTTGGAACAAGGAAATACTAAGGGAACACATAGCCAACAAATGGAAATGGATGGAAAGGAAACAAGACGACGGGAAGAGAGGGAATTGCGGGATAGAGAGATAGAATTTGGTATGATCAAAGTACAAGAGGGAGTGAGAAACTTGATGAAAAATTACAAGGAGATTTTTGATGAGAAGTTGGGTTGTCTCCGAGATTATGAAGTGGATATCAAATTAAAGGAGGGATATGTGCCCAAGTTTTGTGCATTACGTCGGATACCGTTCGAATGGCGAAATGAAGTAGACAAGGAATTGGAGCAGTGGGTGCAGAAGGGCATTGTTTGTCCAGTGGAATATAGCGAATGGGCAACACCGTTAGTACCCGTGAAGAAGGCCAATGGAAAGCTTCGTTTATGCGCTGATTTTCGGGTCACGCTAAACCCGTGGGTTGTGGAGATAAAATATCCGTTACCTAGGATTGAAGAAATATTAGCTAATTTAAAGGGTAGCATATATTTTTCAAAGGTGGACTTTTCGAACGCTTACTTACAATTGAAGGTGAAACCCGAGGTACAAAAGCTATTAACGATCACGACTCCGAAGGGATTGTATGCCTTCTGTAGATTGCCGTTTGGACTTAGCGTGTCGGCTCCAATTTTTCAACGAACGATGGCGGCAGTTTTTCAAGGACTAGAGGGAGTATTTTACTACATGGATGACGTATTAGTGATGGGAAAGACTCCCGAGCAACACGAACGAAGATTGGAGGAGGTGTTCAAAAGGATCCAGGATAAAGGATTGCGGGCAAGCGTTGAAAAAAGTGTGTTGGGAGTATCAGAAATCGTATATTTGGGGCATAAAATCAATGGGAAAGAGGTCAGACCTTTAGACAAAAATATGGCAAATATAACAAGCATGTTGAAGCCTAATAATAAAGTGGAAGTACAAGCTTTCTTGGGAATGGTGAATTATTA